AGTGTAATATCCCAAATATTGAATTAGGGACTTTATTGAAATGATTTAAAAATATGAGGATTTATTCGAGTAAATGATAAAAGATGAGAATGATTTGGAATAGTGTTTAGACTAAAGTGTATCAATTGATATAGTAAGAGGGCGTTTTGGTCTTTTAAGAAGATGAATGAATTTAAAAATATATATATCCTTGTTAGGAATTTTAAATAGGGGAAAAAAGGAAAGTAAAACATTTTTTCCTTCTTCTTCTCCTTCACGTGAGTAGTGCTCTCCTCCATGTTATAAGGTAAACTTCCATTAGCTAGTTCTTTCTTTAAATTATGGATTGGTTTGGTAACATCAAGTGATAGGTAAGCTTAATGAAGGATTAAAGAAAGTTAAAACCATGAAATGGAGGAAATATGGGAAATTTTAGAAAATGTGTTTTGAAGTGATATGTTAATATATGAGTGTTTGTTGATGTTTATTTGTAGATTTGACTTGTCAAAAAGGTAATTAAGAGATTATAAGCATTGGATAGTATTAAGAACATATTAGGAAAAGTGATGTGATTATTAGAATTGAATGTTCTTGAAATATTTTAGATGTTTTAAGAGGATAAATGAAGGAATGTTAGTATGGATAGTTAAAGAAAAGTTTAATAGCATTGCATGGTGTATGTATAATGAAATTTAACCTTAAATTGGGTAATATTCAAGCTGAAAACTGGAAAATCTGGGTAAGGGTATCGGTACTGATAGAACAGTACCGATACTATAGACTAAAATGGGATGAATTAGCTTAGTAGTATCGATATTGATTGTAAGGGTATCGATACCAAGCAACATCGAACCTAAAATCTGTATCGATACCGGATGGGGGCATTGGTACCATAGTATGGTAGTATCGATACCATGGTAAGGGTATCGATACTAGGAAACTTCGAACCTAAAATTGGTATCGATACCGTAAGGGGGTATCAGTACCATAGTATAGAAGTATCGGTACCAGGGTAGTAGTATCGATACTATTGAGTTTGGAACGACCAATTAGGTTGAAATTGTTATGGAAATTGAGATAATGATATTTTGAATATTCTTAAAGTATAAGGTTAAGGAATATACTAACATTGGGTATGATGCATGTTTTAATGGATGCTTGAGTAGATCGGAACCAAGTACCGAAGTGATCAACTTTGCAATTTGGGTATAATAGCTAGATAATCCAGGTGATTACAATTAATTATGTACATATATGTTACAATAATCATAGTTATATGAATTATTAGTGAAAGTATGGTGATTACCAAATGGCACTAAGTGTGCATTCCATGAAATTCATCATGAGTTGATTAATAACCGTACAGACACTAAGTGTGCATTCCACGGAATTCGTCATGAGTTGATGAATAATCGTACAGGCACTAAGTGTGCATTCCACGAAATTCATCATGAGTTGATGAATAACCGTACAAGCACTGAGTGTGCATTCCACATAATTCATCATGAGTTGATGAATAACCGTATAGGCACTAAGTGTGCATTCCATGAAATTCATCATGAGTTGATGAATAACCGAACAGGCACTAAGTGTGCATTCCATGGAATTCATCATGAGTTGTTGAATAACCGTACATGCATTAACTGTGCATTCCATGGAATTCATCATGAATTGATGAATAACCGTACAGGGTACTAAGTGTGCATTCCAAAAAATTCATCATGAGTTGATGAATAGCCGTACAGGCACTAAGTGTGCATTCCACGGAATTTATCATGAGTTGATGAATAACCGTACAAGCACTAAGTGTGCATTTCACGGAATTCATCATGAGTTGATGAATGACCGTACAGGCACTATGTGTGCAAATTCACAGAATTCATCATGAGTTGATGAACTACCGTATATGCACTACATGTGCATGTTAATAAATGATTAAGAATAGGAAATTGGTAAATTACCATGTTAGTACTAAGAGTACAAATGTATAAAGTTTATAATAAATTATAAAGAGTTAATTGATATTATAACTAATTATTAGAGTTGAAACTAGTCCAAAATAAAAAGGATAATGGTCTAACTGTGCAATTGGCATAAATATGTCAATTATCTCAGTTAGATGAACGGTTAAATACTGTTGAGTAAAAGGATGATGGCCTAACTGTGCAATAGGCAGAAAGGTGTCAATTATGCCAGTTAGATGAACGGTTAAATACCATTGAGTAAAAGGATGATGGCCTAACTGTGCAATTGGTAGAAAGGTGTCAATTATGTCAATTAGATGAACGGTTAACTATCGTTGAGTAAAAGGATAATAGCCTAACTGTGTAATTGGCAGAAAGGTATCAATTATGCCGGTTAGTTGAATGGTTAAGCACTGTTGAGTAAAAGAATAATGGACTAGCTATGTCTTAGACAGAAAAGTATCAAATATGCAAGTTAAGTGAAAAGCTAAATACCTTTGGGTAAAGATAAATAATTATAATGTATGTGATATTGGCATATAAGTTATGAAGGGATATATATTATATATATATATATATATATATATTGTACAACAATGCATAATTATTATGCAAGGATGTTATAAAGGAAAACGTAAACAAAACATAATGGGCATGAAAGGATACCCAAATAAAAATACAAAATGGTGTATTAATAGTATCTAAGGTGCTGCTATAATGGTTATAAAAGATACATTGGTACAATACATGTATAGTACTTTTACATTTAATGTACACAGGGCAAATAAAGAATAAAGGGGGAAATATAAAGAAGGATAAGTATAAGGGACATAATAGAAATAATTTCCAAGATGGTATGAAAGAATTATGGTTTAATTGAGAAGGGCTTAATTGGTCTTTATGAATGATGAAATTAAATTCTTCATTTAGTATTCATATGATACTATTGTATAATTTGTAATATTCATGCAGTATTATGTCTCACTAAGTAAATACTTAACGTGTGTTTATTTCACGCGTAGGTAAAGACAAAGATTAGTGGCATAGGGAGTGTAAAAGTACCAGTAGCTTTCATCAATTAAAGGTTGACACATCAGTAACATTATGACAATCTTATTCATTTGGGAACTAAATTGGCATGTAATTAAACTATAGTAAATATTTTTGCAATGTACTTAATTGATAGTTTTAGTATGTTGCTTTTATAAATATCATATTTTGTTTTTGATCAAATTGAAACAAATTTTTACGGGTTTTCAAATAGTTTTATAAAGTGATGTGACCTATGTATCTCGTGTACGGAAAGGTATACGGGATATGTGTGTTACACATAGTATTGATACTGGTCAGGCCCAACGACTAGTAACGGCTAGTTTATTTAAATATTATAAAGGAAGTATCGATACTCATTAAAGGAGTCGATACTCCCTATCCTGGGCAGTTTTATTTTGCAGAAAAATAATCCCCATTGGCTCCAAATCATCCATAATGACTAGAAACGACTACAAGCTCGTTCCAACATATGAAAACAAGTTGAGGACACTTGAAGAAGGGTTAGAACACATATCCAAGCAATCAAATACAAGAGAAGAGTTTTTCTTTCTTATTTTCCTTTCTCTTGTAAATGTTAGTGTTTTTGTGAGCTTAATCTTGTAAACACCTACCTTAGAGAGGTTTTCTTGTTTACATTTTATACCTTTTGTAAAAGGGGAGGGGTTCTATCTTAGCCATTGAAAAGATAGAGATTTGTAAATGTTATCTCTTTATCATGTGAAAAGGAAATAACAAATTAGTGAATTTGTTAGAAAATCCTAAGTGATGAGCTTAGGTAGTGGATGTAGACTTGGTTAAGAAGTCGAACCACTATAAATCCTTGTGCATCAATTTGTTTCATCTTTAAATCTCTTTAATCCCTAAATTTTTCTCAAATCCACTTCAAACCCCTCTTGGCAAATTATCTGGTTGATCATTGAGCTTCATCGAATATCCCAACAGTAAACCTCCATTATAATTTTGAATATTTCCTCTTTTTAATAAAATTAGTGGCTTCTATAAAAATGATCTAGTTAATATTTTTTTTGATAAATATATAGTTTAATATTTAATGATAGAATGATATATTTATTATAACATTTTAATTAAATAAAATACTTATAATTTTATAAAGAACACATCGAGGACCTTAATGATAAAAGAATAAAGTTATTCTTATTAAAGGTCTTAGGTTCGAGTGATTACGTTTGAGAGTATATGTGCGTTGTTAATAGATTAAGAAATTTCTAAACATATAATATATTGTAATCACGTCATACTATTAAAAACCTTTTTTAAAAAAATTATTATTAAACTCTCGTAATTAAGTGATCTTTTTACAATAATTTACCTTAAAACTAACCCACTCAGTTGACTGAATCCAATACCTAAATTTTGGCTGCTTCCATCTTAGATATTAAGATCAAACGATAATTACCAAAGCAAAAGGCCTTTTGCTTTGTACTTTTTCAAGGGGATCATAAAGTTAATAAGAAAATGTAATATAAGTGGCAGACAACCAAATAGATAAAGATTTCATAATTTTAAAAGGAATCCAAAAGTTTCTGAAATTAAATAATAGAGGAAATTTGATACACAATCTAGAATTTAGACTACAATTTTATATTTGAATGTGATTTGCTTTATTTAATGTTTAAGATTTAAGATTTAGAGGTTAAAATGTAAGGTTATAGGATTAAAATAAACTAATTTAAATTTTATACAATTTATATATCAAATAATTTTTCATAATAAAATATTTAAAATATAATATTAATAATTATTTTCCTAATCCATTGATTTATTATTTTTTTCAAAGTTATCATCTGCAGAGAAAATTCATTTTTCCCTAATATTTAAAATTCCTAAAATACTTTTTAGACTTGATAAATCCATATTTGTATACTTTCAATGACATATTATATTCAGCTTAACTACTTATCCATAACATGTACATTTCATTCTTACCATCTGCATACCAAGTGAAGTCTTAATCCAAATTCTCATTTTCATAGTTTTCAAACGGAGAATTAGAAAAAAACAAATCAATTACCAAAACTAGAAACAAAATGTGTGCCAGTGCAACAATTGCTGCATATGTTAACAGTAGCACTATAACACTAAGGTATATATATTGCTAGATTTATACAAAAGCTGTAGTCATCCCAAAGCATTCAAATACAAAGAGTCCATCCAAGGCTTGAATACACCTTCATGAGCAGTATTCTGACAAACGTGGAATATATATATGTAGACACTAATTTCCGTCCATATTTTTTATTTTATACATATATACCTATACATATTATATGGTTTGCAAACGGTTTTTGAATATATATAATATATAGTTTTTAAAAAAGAAAACATTTTGAAAATATGGTAATATATAGTTTTTTAAATATTTTTGAAAACTATATAACATATAGTTTTTAAAACATTTTAGAAAATATATAACATATAATTTTAAAATCATTTTAAAACTTATATAATATATAGTTTAAAAACATTTTGAATAAATTATAATATGTAGTTTTAAAAACATTTTTGATAAATTATAATATATAGTTTTAAAAACGTTTTTTAAAACTTATATAATATTTTTAAAACATTTTGAAAACTATATATATAGTTTTGAAAACTTTTTTAATATAATATATTTTAAAATATTTTGAAATATATGTATTATATAATTTATATTATCAGTTATTATTATTTATTTTCTTTTTTATTTTCTTTTTATGTTTTTTTTCAGGGTCCAAACAGTCCAATAGTCTCGAGGGCCTGATCCAGCCTAAAGTTCAAAGTTAGGGTTTCAGCATATGTTAAGGCACCGCACGAATCACGGCAAAAAGGGAAGGGCACAGGTCAATCTGGACCGTTGGATCTGACCCAATCCAACGGCCAGAAAGCAAGTCAACATCCAGAAGCAATTTCAACGGCCAGAAGCATCAGTCGTCACTGGAAATGAAACCGGTCAAACATGCAACAAACACGTTCCATAACAGAACGCAAATCTCGCAAGAATCGAGTCACAACAGCTCAGTCTCCCACAGGCCGAAAATCGCGCCACCACACGGGACTGACCCATCCCGTGAAGTTCGGTAACGCTCACCGGCCGAGAGTATAATACCCCAGACAGAACGGGACAGGGGGATCCACGCAAATCTCAGAAGCATAAACATAGTAAACCAAATAACCAAAACAAGATCAACGAGAAACTCAAACGAAACACAAAGCCAACATAATCGCAACCATCAACCAAAGCAAAAGCATAACAATAACACAAAACCATCGAAATAAGTGAAGCCGAAGCCAACAGTATCCAAAGGCGAAGGCTCGGAATGCATCTCGCCGAAACCACCGGGAAAGTGAAAGGCCATCAAAGTAACATTTTCTGGTAAGGTTGTAAGGTTTTGTGTGTGGTTGATGTTTGTATCAGAAAGGAGATAAAGGAGGAGGAGAACGGCCAGATTAGGGAAATGAGGGAGTGATAGCCAAAATCGCATATAAGGGGTATATAAACCCCCCAGAACGACGTCGTTTAGGTGAGTCTAGGGCATCTCTCGGGTCACGCAGGGTAAACCGTGTAGAGGGGGCCTTACTTTGTATACGTTTCATCTTGGCCACTTAAAGGAAATCATATTTTACGTTTCAGTCCTTTTCACTTAAAGGAGATCTTTTGTGTTCCAATTCGACCTTCTATTGCCATTTTATTCCTATTTAGTCACTTCTACATATTTATAACTATTATTATTATTATTCTATTTCATTATTTTTCTGTTTTATCATTTTTTTCGGGATTTATATACATACTTATATATATACATGTATAGTTGTTTTTTTTTTTTTGATTTATTGTTTTGATTTGTATATAGTTTCTATTTATTTATTACAACTATCTTATTTTTTTTTTTTTTATGTTTTTCTATATATATACATATATATATGTATATTATTATTTCGCCTTATTATAAATTTTTTTTTCTTTTCTTTCGACTTTTTTGATTCATTTAATATTTATTTATTGTTATTTTCCCCCTAACGTTTTTGATTTTTTAGAAGAATTTCAACAAATCAGAGGTAAACAATTCGAATTGAATATTTTAAATTTTAATTTAATTTTTTATTTTTGCGATTAAGACAACCGACGAATTAATTGGTACCGAAAGGGCGGTTCAAGGGTGCTAATCCTTCCTTGACCGTAACCGACTCCCGAGCCCGACACGTTTCTGGTACAACGCAGATCAGGTAAGATGTGTCCGACCCCCTAATTTGTTTTAAAGTGGTCGGTGGCGACTCCAATCCTTTTTCAAGTCGAAGCCCAATTCCGGGGCCCAACCCGAAAGACGGTTACGACAGTTTGGCGACTCCGCTGGGGAAAGGTAAGTGAGTCAGGCCAGAATTAATTTTCCGTTGTCTTTTTATGCGAAAATTGTAAATTTAAATTTTAATTTATCTATTCGATTCCAATTATTTACCTTTGATTTGTTTCAAATAATAGTTGTACTGATGTTTTTTAATGATTTCAGATTTTTTCAAAATTGTCATCTCTAAGCTCTAAACCCGAGCTCCGAACCCTTTTAAGTGGGGGTGAAAGCGACGCATTCGTGTGAATTTATTCACCGCATATGCCTAGCAAGTAGCCTTCGGGATTCATATACCTTATGTCTTCGTGTGAATTTATTCACCGTATGGGCATAAGGGAATGTGTCCTCTCGAGTTTAACTTAGTCCACACAAGCTTGTAATGAGCTTAGGACTAAGGGTCTGGCAAGCCCAAGGGGGTACCGGCAAGGAGACTCGAGTACCTTTTTAGAACCTAAACCGGGAGACTATGGAGAATTAGAGCCCACCTCAAACCTCACTTCAAACCCTAGGCTGTTTTATTTCATGCTTTACTTTCTGTTCAAAGCATGCGAACTAGACAATATGCGGTTAGGATTTGTTTGAAATTAGCATACGGGATAGAGATCATCCGGTAGGAATTAAAGCATGTGGGGTAGATATCATGTGGGGTAGGATTTTTTCATTTTTGTTTTGATTTACTTCACTAACTCTTTTTATTTTTGTTTTATTTTATTTATTTTCATCATTCGCATCATTTAAAACGGGTGTTGATCCACCAAAAATGTGTTTGTTAAACATGAATAATCAATATAATGGACAAAGGGGTTACAATACAAAGAGATAAAAAACTCAGAAGTCCAGCCGTGGTCAAGAATACTCAAAGGCAAAGTTGCAGGGGCAATACGAGGAAAAGGTCACTGACCCGGTCGCTCCTTTTAAAAAAACAAGAACAAGATGGTGAAACCCTAACTGAGCGGGATGCCATTGCTGATGAATTCAAGAAGCAAGCTTTGGATAGTTTCTCTCGCTCCAATGGCATTTTAGAAACAAGCTCGGCAGATAGTGAGAGCCGGAGATGCAGTCCTTCGACCTTTTGGGGCAAGCATCATTATTTGCACATTTTAGCCAAAGGAGCCGGATGGTTCGGCAGGATATTCAACTAGTGAAAAAGACGAATCAACCTGTCAGAAGCTGTACATGACTCGTACCATCAAAAGAGTTTTTTGTCTCTTCAGACGTAACACTTTTGTCACCAATAGGGGTTATTCAGAATAACAGGCACATTTTTTGGATCAATGCCTCAGACATTTCATGCATCACATATTTAGACATTTTGCATTTCTTATTTTTGTGCATTTTGTTTGCATTCACATTAACTAATATATACATGTCGCATCAGAAAGGAGTAAATACTGGATACACCGCCTCAAGTACTGGACACACCCCATCCACATAACACTCGTTTGAAGAAGAGGATGGAAGCCAGAATTACACAAATCGAATATGTTAAAACTACAAAAGGAACTAGAAGACAAAATAAACCAGAACAGTCGAAATACTCTGGAAACAATCACAAAGAACCAAGAGTCCTTGGTTGATCAGATCGCCAAGTTAGTTGGCTTACAACAGACCAGTGCGCCTGGGGCAGGTTCATCGGAAGGGGTAACTATACAACCTACCCCACAGGTGGTTATCTCACCTGAAATCTTACCAGAACTTCGAGGGGACTCATCTGCTGCAAAAAAGCCCTCGTCCTCTGTATTCAACCCTAAGAACAATCCGGGTTATTACCATGTACCGGATTTGGACGAAGGTAAAAGCGAGGAAGATGGAGGAAAAATCAAACAATTGGAGGACCAAATGAATATAGTCAAAGGAGACCGTGACTACCATGAAATCGATGCAGCGGAACTTTGTCTAGTCCCGGACTTGGTTCTTCCCCCGAAATTTAAGTCCCCGAGTTCGAGAAGTTTGACGGGAATAGTTGCCCATCCACTCACATCACCATGTTCTGCCGAAAGATGACAGGATATGGAGGAAACGACCAACTTCTGATCCACTGCTTTCAGGATAGTCTGTCGGGCTCAGCCATTCGGTGGTACAACCAGCTAAGCCGATCAAATATCAAGAGGAAGGACCTGGCCAAGTCATTTCTGGAACAATACAAGCATAACAATGACATAAGGCCAGATCGAGTTATGCTACAAAACATGGAAAAGAAGCATAACGAGAGTTTCAGGCAGTACGCACAAAAATGGAGGGACTTGGCTGTGCAAGTTCATCCACCGTTAGATGAAAAGGAACTCGGAAACTTTTCGTGCAGACTCTGAAGGCTCATACTTCGGGCATCTGGTGGCGATCACATCAGGAAGCTTTTCAGACTTGGTTATGGCCGGAGAAATGATTGAGTCGGCCATAAAGCAAGGCAGATTAAGGATGGGGAAGCCAGTAAGAAGCCTCCTATGAGGAGAGGGATGGAGAGGTTAATAACATCAACACTCCAGCAAAGGTGTTATCTCCAGCCCAAAATCAACTGCAGCTGTACCGTTAGGTACTTCTAAACAAGATTCCAGGAGGGAAAGGGAACATTTCGACCCAATTCCCATGACCTACAAAGAGCTTTACCAGCAACTTCTTGACACCCATGTGGTGTCACCATATCCAGTAGAACCCATGAAGCCCCCATACCCCAAGTGGTATGATGAGAATGCGTATTGTGAATATCACGGCGGAGTCCCAGGGCACACAATTGAGAACTGTTACGCATTCAAGAGGGTTGTACAAAAGATGCGCAACCAGAACTGGATCGACTTCAACAACTTGGGGGCATCCAAGTGAGGGATATCATTTCATCATTTGAGGCATTCTGTTTGACTTTGT